GGGGGGGGGGGGGGTTAATTGTAATGCTAAACTAGTTGTGGATTAGTTGGCCAAATTAGACTTTTTGTATTGGCTAATATTATTTAATGAGAGGACCTCTTACTTTAATTATATTCGTTAACTAATGAAGTGACATCTCAATGGCAACGAATTCATCGATAACAATAATGTTTGATAAAGGTGACTTGCTTCGGTCAATTACAGATCATCACAACGCTGAAATGAATATTCCTCTTTTCTTTTTCCGGTTGGATTATTTAGGAATATGAATGAAATTCGAAAATTCACATAACGCTATTGCGTAATTTGTATTTAAGATTTTTACTTCAATTTCTTTTAGCAAAAAACCCTCTTTTTTAAATTAAAGTATTATTTCTATATATGCCATTGTAGTGTACGTATGCATAGTGTTCTTCACATTTAAGATAGATGTCTTTTTTTTTCTCTTTTTCCCAAAGGGCTTTTGCGAGGGGACAAAAAAGGAGCTATTGCTCAAGACAGAAAAGTGGGAGACAGAAAAGTGGGGGATTAAGCTTTTTTTTTTTTTATAATCCGAAAGTTTACCGTACCTTTGGCTCGACTACATCTCACAGAGGAGGGGAAGCCCAGGTGAATGCGCATCCTCACACTTAGATTTGAACCTAGAATGAAAACATGTTTTTCATGTTCTCTTACCACTAGTCCACCCAAGTTTGAGTGATTAAGCCTTTTGATACATCACTTAGTTCATTTGGTCGATATATAGGAGGGGGCTATAGCCGAGGCGGATCAATCCTTAGGTTGCTTGTTCTTTTTTTTTTTGGTTAAATTAGGTTGCTTGTTCTAATTGGGTGGTCGGGATTTTTTTTTTGTTGGATGCCCTTGTCAACTTTTATTTTGGAACATGTGATGGTTCATTTGTACGGACCAAAAGGTGTTATCTTGACCTAGATATGATGTCGACACAAGTTAAAACTGCGTCTTGGGACATACTCATGTGATAATTTTGGAGATTTGTTTTCAAACAATGTGTTCATTGTAATAAAACTATATGTTTGAAGATTATAGAGTTTGATATGTTGCGAACTGGAAGAAAAGAAACACAATTTGTTTAGTGGAAATCACATTTTTTACTTTAGAATTGATTGATATTTAAACGGTCGTTTTGACCGACACGCAACGAGTCCATAAAGCATCTTTCTTTGCCAGATATTCGGGTTCACGAGCAATGAAACTTGGTCTATCCGCCATATATTTGATTAGAGTGTCATGGCAGACCTTTCCCTCTAGGACAAGCTCGCGACAACAAGCATCGGAGACCGTTCCGTTCCAGAAAATCTCTTCGACTATATCCAACGTACATTTTGGAGACATTTTTGTGAGACATTCATCCCAGAGCTGTTTCGGTTCCCCTTCCTCAATAGCAAATACAGGCACAGACGCATATATCACAGCTACAACGGTTAAGACGACAACGATCTTGATGCTGAGTTTTGTCATCTTAGACGAATGTGTTTGGATTTGATTAATTTGTTCCTGAATTTGTATGTTTTGTGTTTTCTTGCTTCTAAAGTTTGAAGTACGAGTGATATTTATATACAACATTGCTATTATAACATCTTTTTAACTCTTATAGCATTTATTAATGAGGAAGTTTCTTTGCTTGTGGTTTATAACATTTTCGTCCAATTCAATGTACCGAAGGTTGTTAAAGTTGTTCATAATTGTCCATGACTAATGATGGAAAACATTTTAAATAAATAACTAGATTCCCGCATGCAAGAAATATTGGTCACCGGCATCTCCTTGGACTATGTTTAACACTCATAACTTACATGTTGCTCGGTTCACAACATGTACTTTTAAAAATGGTAATATAAAACTTTACGAAGATTTTAAATTTATATATTATTATGTTTTTTTATTTAGTGTGGATTATTTTATTGTATAGGAGTTTAAAATTTATTGTAAAATTCTATAAATTAAAAAAAAAAACAATAAAATATCTAACTTACTAAAGAGTATTCTATTTTACATGTAAAAAATCCGGGGTATCCTTTATCATACAAAATATGGATATTACAAGAATAACATCCTAAAAAACAAATTGGTAAATGTTACCTATACGTTCCAATTGTTTTCTAGTAATGCCTTCAATTTTTTTTTCCGGAAAGTTCATCGTACTTTCGGTCTAATTACATCTCTATGAGATCCAGAGGATCGGTTGAGTAAGTACCACTTAAAATGGCATCCTCCCTCGATGGGTGTTCGAAAATAGATTCAGAAAGAGTTTTGTCTCATCTCTTACCAATTGAACCGTCAGACTTTAGTATCTTGAAAGATATGAAATACCTGACAATTACGTTTTTTTTTTTCACTCTATATTGTAGTACCGTCTGATTGTTTCGACCCAATTTTTAGTGTAATCGGTTTATTATGATTCCCCGGACGAGGATGCATTTCGTATGGGAACAAGGAAAAACACGATGTATATCTTGGTACAGTATTCATCGTCATTGTATCATATCCTACTCATGGGTACATGGATTTGCAGGGAAGAAATATGAAATCCCCTCTGTTAATACTCAAAACGAATTCCCCATTACAACTTTAATCTGATAACCTTGCCAAAAAAAAAACTTTAATCTGATAATGAGGATCATACAGGTTCCATGTTATTCGCAACGGAGCAAGACTATGCTGTGGAGACATAGAAACTCGGCGGTCCATTTCATGTAAGGTTTCGAGAAAGTCCATGAACGATATGAAGACTAAGACTAAAGATTATATATATGTTCCAATATTAGGACTTGGTCCCAAACTTCCTCTTGCACGTTTTTTATTTGCCACCTCTCTTAAATATGTTTTGGGTCTGTATATGTAATATGATCGTATGAAGATTTAGAAACGTGCCTTAATTTAAGAAGAAAAAAGGTAGAGATCATAGAGTTAGATATGCATTATAACATGAACCAAGAAAAATAAAAGATAAAAGTTTATTAAGTCGATCCAAGGCAATGACTTTTTTTTTCCCTCCAAAAATGGAGTTATATTTAAACGGTTGTTTTGACCGACACACAACGAGTCCATAGAGCATCTTTCTTTGCCAAATACTCCGGTTCACGGGCAATGAAACTTGGTCTATCTGCCATGTATTTGATTAGAGTGTCATGACACACCTTTCCCTCTTGGACAAGCTCGTGGCAACAAACATCGGAGACTGTTCCGTTCCAGAAAATCTCTTCGACTATGTCCAATGTACACTTTGGAGACATTTTTGTGAGACATTCGTCCCAGAGCTGCTTCGGTTCCCCTTCCTCAATAGCAGAGGCGGGTAGAGATGCATATACCGCAACTACAACAATTAAGGTCATAGCGATCCTGATGTTGAATTTCGTCATATTGGTGAAATGTGATTTGATAAGATTATTTTGCTCAATATGTTGCTTTCTTTTTGTTTTTGTTTTCTTGCTCTATAAATTGACGTAAGAGTGGTATTTATATATTTACAACGCAATTATAACGTGTTCATGATCTGAATAAATGATGCTCTAATGTTTTCTTAACTTATATAGTATTTATTATGGGGGAAGTTTCTTTATTTTTGTTTTGTCATTCCATCGGATTCAACGAAAGGTTGTAATAACTGTTAACAATTGTGATGCGATATACATTTAATTATCTTTAGTTCTCTAAATATAATATAATTGCAGAGAGTTTAATTGATAAGTTATTTTATAATCTAAACCTACATACTATATTGATATCAATTATTAGATAATTTTAGGTTATTAGATAGTATATATCTATATGTTATAAAACTTCAAAATAAACAAGATTCGTTTTTACATGATATATCGAAATTTTACTTTGAAGAACAAAATGGATATGATCTTTGTTTCTCTCATTTTTTTTCTTTAATATTTGTTATTAGATTGACAAAAATCATGAAACCTATAGATTTGTTTCTATAAGATATATATATATATAGGGGTATAGAAAACTCTATTCTTACTAGAATAATGAGAAAATGTACATCCAAAACTATCCATTGACCTTAATTTTTTTTTTAATAACGTGCTTATCTATCAAGATGTCAAATTTACTGTTAAAAATTTGCCAAAAATACATGGACCACTTAATTATATATTTGCCCCAAAACCAAGATTATCGAACCATAGTGATCAAAATTGAAATAAAACCACTTCCCCAAAAATCATCTTGGTTTTATTTTGTCGGATCGGAATCTTCTGACAAAGAGAGAAATAGAGGCCGTGGCATGTGTGACAGAGAGAAATAATGTACAAGAGTATTTACATAATACATAAAAAAATGATTATTTTTATGATTTATCTTTAAATAGTATATATTGCACAATATTTACAGAACAAGATACAATCCTTTTTTTTTATGTGTTGCAAATTTCTTGAAAAATAAGAATAATTCGACTTTGCGATTTGGAAATATTAATTATACCGCGGAAAATGATATTTTAATCTGTTCTCCTAAATTAAGTTAGCAGTTATCAATCAACGCTGAAAAATATTTCAATTGCATATGTAAGCCATTATGTCAAATTTGTATGGAATGGCATATGCAAGTACTCAACAGTTTGTCAACAATGCCCATCCACGCAAATCATGATCGAAGACAGCAATTTAATGAGAAAAAAATAATAATACAAAATAAAAGAAATCAAATTATATATAGAGCAACCGCTGTCCATTGTTAGCTTTCATTGAAATACAAATATTATATTAAGCATATTGCCAATAAATTTAAAAAATATATATTAAGCATGTGGCCAACTACTTCTCCGCGTTGTGTATATACAGACATTAATGCGGAATGTTCATAGAAATGGCAGAAGAGTTTAATAATAATAATAACCGAACTATACAGTTGGAGAAACTTGGCAGGGATCGGAGAAGATGGCATCCGGTCTGATCGATTTAGGGGTGGGAAGGATCCTGAACGTTCTTGAAAGCGAGGTGTTGCAGCAAACAGGACTCCGTGATGAGATAGAGATGACGAAGCTGAAGCTGAGGTTCATGAGGTCGTTCCTTGAGCAGCACGCGAGTGCGAGCGGCAGCAGGGACGCCGTCTTCACAACGTTTGTGAAGGAAACAAGGGACTTGGCCTACCACATCGAAAACATCGTCGACGGGTTCTCTTACCACATCAACCGCCGTGCCGGCCAGGCCTGGCTTAAACGTGCTAGTCACTTCCCCGCGTATTTGCGTAAGAGGCGCTCCCTAGTCAGCGAGCTCGAGACCGTCAATCAAAAGATTCAGCAGCTGTCTGCCTTGATGGACATGTTTCATTCTGAGGGAGCGGCATCGTTACCCTCTACCGGCGGTGATGGACAATGGGCAAAGAATCTCCAGGAGTCATCCTTCTTCGCTGGCGACGATAGCCTCGTGGGGATCGACGATTCCGTGGATGAGGTAACATGGTGGCTTCTAGACTCGGAACCTCAGAGGATAGTCGTGACCGTAGTCGGGATGGGCGGCTCCGGAAAGACCACTCTTGCGAGCAGTATATTTAGATCTCATTGTGTCCGAAGGCACTTTGACTCTTGCTGCTGTTGGGTGACGGTCTCTCAATCCTATGATATAAACAATGTCATAAAGGCCATGCTCAAGGAAATCTGCAAGGAACTAGGTCTGCAAGCTCCGACGGATTTATCCTCCATGGAGTACATGCAGTTGATGGAAATCCTGGTCAACATTCTCCGACATAAGAGATACTTCATTGTGTTCGACGATGTTTGGAGCACGGAGTTTCTGGACCTGATTTGTGAACGTCTTCCAAATGATGTTAATGGAAGTCGTTTGATGATTACTACTCGCAGTGAGAGGGTGGCTGATTTCTCGTTTGGGACTGTGAGCCGATCTCATCGGATGGAGCCCCTGAGCGAAGACAAGGCTTGGGAGCTCTTCTGCAAGAATGCATTTTCAAGAAACCCTATGCAAAACCAGGGATCAAATATAGAATCTATAGCACGGAATCTCGTTCAGAAGTGCAGAGGTCTGCCTCTTGCGATTGCGACTTTGGGTAGCATGATGTCAACAAGAAGATCGGAGTCAGAATGGAGGAGAATACACGACAACTTGACCTGGGAACTGAGCAACAATCCGGAGTTGGGACATATTCAACGTATCTTAGTTCTTAGTTTCAATGATTTGCCAAACCCACAGAAACATTGCTTCTTGTATTGTAGCATTTTCCCCGAAGACTACGAAATAGAAAGAAAGAGATTGGTTCGGATGTGGATGGCGCATGGATTCGTGGAACAGAGCAACGGACCGAAACCAGAGGAAGTGGCCGAGAGTTACATCATGGAGCTTATTTGCAGGAACTTGCTTCAGGTCGTATCGTGGAACATTAGCGGGCGGCCTAAGGTAATCAAAATGCATGACGTGGTTAGAGAGGTTGCTTTGGTCATATCTAAACGTGAGAAGTTCTGTGATGTGTATATGGATGAGATGGAAGAAGCCCAGTGCGATGAAACTCGCCATTTGTGCGTTCAGAGGGGGATAAGCTCAGGTGTGATACCCCGAAACCTCTACACTCTTTTGGTGTGCCCTATTAGCCAGGAGAAGTTTGGATTGCTAGACGGTGTGAAGCTTTTGAGAGCATTAGACCTTGAAGACTCTGGCATTGATAACCTGTCAGATTCATTGGTGAAGCTATACAACTTAAAGTATCTTAACCTCCGGAAAACAAAGGTTCGGAAACTTCCAAAATCCTTCCACAGGCTCATTAACTTGGAGACATTACTAATTAAGCATTCAGAAATTGAAGAGCTTCCTGCTGGAATTTCAAAGTTGCGGAAGCTGCGGTTTCTAGTAGTTAATCGCAACACACTCATGACGGATTCCTCCAATATTTGGCAATTGAAGAGGCTGGAGGTATTGGACGGCGTCCTTCCAAAAACAAATCTTGTCAAGAACCTCGGTAAAATGACAAAGCTCACGAAGCTTACCCTTTGGGATGTGAGGAAAGACCATATGGATGACTTACGTGATTCCCTCTCTAAGTTAAAGGATCTGAGGTCTTTATCTTTGTCCCCAATTAGTGAAGCAGACACCTTACCGATAGATGAGATATCGCCTCCTGCAAACATCGAGAAGCTCAACCTCTACGGGAGGCTAGAGAGAGTGCCCACATGGTTCAGGACTCTTCGCAAGCTTACTACGCTGGCATTGTCATGGTCTGAGCTAAGAGAAGACCCAATCCCTTACATCCAAGCACTCCCTAATCTGGTCAAGGTTATCTTTTTTGGTAATGTATACGAGGGGGATAGGCTACACTTTGAAGAAGGGTTTCCAAGCCTTAAAGTGTTGTGGATAACCAATATGGCACATTTGAGGGAAATCGTTATACAGAAAGGTGCAATGCCGCATCTCCAAACCCTGCAGATCGTTGCTTGCGAAGGGATAAAAAGATTGCCAGACGGCATAGAAAGCCTCAGCAGCCTTCAAGAACTATCTCTATATGGCGTTTCGGACGAGCTAACAGAGGAGAGTATAGACCGCTCAAAGTTTAATCACATTCCTACCATCACGATTGCGTAAGACAGCCAGAAAAAGGTAACAAATTTAATTGTTGTGCGCTAAAAGGTCAGGCATCCATTAATGAATCGGGCGAACCGGAAAAAACCCGTTACATTGTAAGTGATTCTCATGGACTGCCCAAATCTATGTGAAAGCTTAATGTCACTATACAGTGATTCGCAAATCCCATTGATACCTTCTCTCTTTGATCTGACACCATAATCTTCTCTGATGTGTTCAAGTCCTATACATGTCGCGTTCTGCTTTTCGTGTTTGTATACGAGACAGAGATTTTACTGTCGGATATATTGGTCGCATGGAAAGTGGTCGCGTGGTGTATTTAACGGTTATGTGTTGGTTTATTGTTTAGTTATTTTTCAGATGTGTTGGTTTTAGGTAATTCATTAATTTTTCAAAGATATATGAATTTAAAAAATCATTAAAAATACAATAACCATCAAATTAACTTTATTTTCTCTTCCTTTTTTGGTTTGGAATGGTTATGCAATTGCTTTCAACATGATATGTTCAAAATTGAAGAAGAATATGATGGAGAGGAAAATACGATACCCGAAAATACCATTTTTAAAAGTAATCACGTCGTGAACCGACACAGCATATGCTTGTATGAAAATAGATGGTCTAAGGGTTTTGTACGTCAAGAAGTCGAATTATTTAAAACGTCTTCCATAACCTTTTCCTTTTTTGGATGGAAATGTGAGTAACCGCAAACAAAGGAACTTCCCCGTTAATAAATGCCATAAGAGTTAGAAAAAAAATGGTATTGTTGTATATAAATACCACTCATGCTTCAATTCCAAGATCAAGAGAAACAAAAGCATAACATATATCGGGCAGAATAATCAAATCCAACCACGTTTGGCGAAGATGACAAAACTTAGCATCAAGATTGCGATGGCTTTGGCCGTAATAGATGTGTTTTATGCATCTGTATCCGTCCTTGCAATTGAGGAAGGGGAAGCGAAGAAGTTTTGAGATGAATGTATTGATCGAGAATATCGGTTTCGTATATTGTGTATATTTGACAATCTTGTTAGTTGCCTGTTTTGATTGTATCTTCTTCTGATTTTCCTAGATTTATTAGGTTTCGGTTTGTGATCGAGTTGTACATATACATGGCTTCTGTGATCAATAACACACACGAATTATTCTCTTTGGCCGTCGGTTTCACTCTGACATGGTATCAGAACCCGACAATCTCTGAATTTTTTTTCTTTCGTGTTTTGCTATGTCTTCTGCTCACGACAGCAATTCTTCTTCGATTCCCTCTGTCCCTCTGACTCCAACAATGTCTTCGACAACGACCCATTCGATCTCCGACATTCCTCGCCGAACCATCTCCCCTTACGATCTAAGTCCAAGTGATAACCCCGGTCTGGTTCTCACACAAACTCTTCTTCGTGGTACTAACTACGACGAATGGGCAATCAATATCCGTCATGCCTTGAAGTCTCGGAAGAAATTCGGGTTTGTCGATGGTAAAATTCCGCAACCCGATCCGGATTCTGCTGACTATGAAGATTGGGAGACAACAATTCTCTCATCGTTTCATGGTTGAAGAACACCATTGAGCCATCTTTGCGCTTTAATGTTGTTCATCGTGAACTTGCCAAAGACCTGTGGGATTATCTTAAGCGCCGTTTTGGCATGACGAATGCTCCTCGGTTTCTTCGGTTGCGCAGTGCTCTCGCGAATTGTCGGCAGACGGGAATGTCTGTCGAGGCTTACTTTGGTAAGCTTACGAAGCTGTGGGATGACTTGGCTAGCCTACGGACTCTGAAGCTGTGTCTTTGCGGTCACTCTTGACGACGTCAAATACGGCGTTGTTCGTTCAAATTTGCTTTCTCGACAACCATTGCCGACGGTTGAGGAGGCTTACATGGTGGTTTCTCAGGATGAAGAGTCCAAGGACTCTGTTTCTCAACCTGCTCTCTCGGACGTTGCGGCATTCTCTGTTAATGCTGTGCCGAAAGCTCGTTCGCCAACTCCAGTCAAAGGTGTTGTGTGCTCCAATTGTGGTCGTACGGGTCATGTTGTCGATTCGTGCTTCCAGATTCTTGGTTTTCCGGAGTGGTGGGGTGATCGCCCCCGCAACCGCTCTGGCCGAGGTCGTGGACAGCAGTCGAATATACGTGGTCGAGGTACCGTTCATGCGAATTATGCGCATACTGTGTCTTCGAGCTTGCTTCCTCTTCCCTCCGACAAACCGCCTACAACCGGTTTAAGTGACGTGCAGTGGAAGACATTGGTCACCTTGCTCAATTCTGGTCAATTCGGCGCCACTGAGACTTCCTCCGGTAAGTCTCTGTCTGCTCCCTGGGTTTTAGATACTGGAGCTTCTCATCATTTGACAGGTTGTTTAGACTTGATCCAACATCCGACGTACATGGATCCTTGTGCCATTATTCTACCTGATGGACGACAATCTATAGCTACACAATCCGGTTTTGTCTCGTTATCGCCTCGTCTTCGACTTTCCGATGTGTTCTATGTGCCTGGACTACACGTCAACTTATTTCCATATCACAGTTATTGGCTGACTGCGATTGTGTTGTTCAATTTACTCAGACATTGTGCATCATTCAGGACCGGGTAACGCGGATGCTGATTGGAGCGGGTGAACTTCGGGATGGGCTCTATAACTTTTGGTCTGTTGTGATTGCAGCTGTTGTGCGGTCGTGTGACAAAGATTCTTTTGATATGTGGCATCGACGGTTGGGGCATCTTTCGCCGTCAGTTGTAGAGCAAATACCCGAGTTAGCTATGTCAAGACCAATTGTTTCTTCTGCTTCTGACATTTGTTTTCGCGCTAAACATGTGCGTGATTCTTTCTCTCCGAGTACTAATAAAGCTCCTGCTGTTTTTGAGCTCATTCACTGCGATCTATGGGGTCCATACCGTACACCGGCATTTTGCGGTGCACGATATTTTCTCACTATCGTCGACGATTTTTCATGAGGTGTTTGGTTGTATCTTTTAACTGACAAAAGTCAGGTTTCTCGATACTTGTTGGATTTTCTTACATTGGTAGAAAGGCAATTCGATAAGAAAGTATGCACAATTCGTACCGACAACGGTACTGAATTTGTCTGCCTCCGGAATGAATTCACCTCTCAAGGAATTATATACGAAACGTCTTGCGTTGATACTCCTCAACAAAATGGCAGATGTGAACAAGAAAGAGACACCATAAATTTGTATAATAATTATATCTTCCGATCGATTTTTGGGGCGATTGTATCTTAACCGCGGGGTTTTTGATCAATCGTACTCCCTCGAAGATATTGCACGGAAAGACACCTTTTGAGCTTATATATGGCCGCTCCCCGGATTATAGTCATCTTCGAACGATGGGTTGTCTTTGTTATGCCCATAACAAAGATCATCGGGGTGACAAATTTGCGTCTCGTAGTATTCGCTGCGTGTTTGCTGGATAACCCGCTGACTTTCCCCTGGCCGGAATCATCAGCTCTCTTTGACCGACAGCCCTCTGCTTGAAGATCCTGGCAAATACAGACGTTTGGTCGGGCGACTTATCTATCTCATTGTCACTCGGCCGGAATTGTCTTATTCCGTTCACATTCTGTCCCAGTTTATGCAGCTGCCACGCCAAGCTCACTGGGAAGCCGCCCTTCATGTTGTCCGATTCTTGAAGAGAGATCCCGGTCGTGGTATTCTGTTTCGCACGGACTGTGACTTACAGTTACGTGGATGGTGCGATGCGGATTACGCAGGTTGCCCTCTCACTCGGAAATCATTATCTGGTTGGTTCATTCAGCTCGGCGCGTCTCCCATTTCGTGGAAGACCAAGAAGCAACAGACTCCATCTTTTTCCTCAGCCGAGTCCGAGTATCGGGCTATGCGGGTTGCTACGTGTGAACTGCTCTGGATCAAGAGTGTTCTCGCCAGCTTGTTTGTTGATCACTCGAACCCGATGATGCTCTTTTGTGACAGTCAATCGGCTTTACATATTGCCTCCAACGATGTCTATCACGAGTGTACTAATCATATTGAGGTGGACTGTCATTTTCTGCGTCATCATCTCGATCATGGGAACATCATCACACAACACGTTTCCACACAGGAGCAATTAGCGGACATCTTCACCAAAGCTTTGGGGAAGAAGGAATTTAATTGGTTCATCGGCAAGTGGGGTCTACGGGATATGCACTCACCAACTTGAGGGGGGTATTGACCGAGAATATCGGTTTCGTATATTGTATATATTTGGCAATCTTGTTAGTTGCCTGTTTTGATTGTATCTTCTTCTGATTTCCCTAGATTTACTAGGTTTCGGTTTGTGATCGAGTTGTACATATACATGGCTTCTGTGATCAATAACACACGAATTCTTCTCTTTGGCCGTCGGTTTCACTCTGACAGAATGCCTCACAAAAATGTCTCCAAAGTATACATTGGATATAGTCGAAGAGATTTTCTAGAACGGAACCATTTCCGATGTTTGCTGTCGCGAACTAGTTCAAGAGGGAAAGCTCTGCCATGACACTCTAATAAAAGGGGCCTTATCTGTTTTACCCTCAATGTGCTAAAAGCACTTCTCCACCTACCCTCCTTTCTTTTAAAAAAAAAATTCACTTCTAAAATACCCTCTCAAATATAGTTTTACTAAAATACCCTTACAATATTAATTTATATTTATTTTTTTAATTAAAATCTACATTCTCTCTCCTAAAATCTAGGTTTTCTCTCTCTCCGTCGATTTCTCTCTCCAAGCTTTCTCTCTCCTCATTGGTTTCTCTCTCCTCTGTAATTGACTTTTTTCTTTTCAAAATCCGATAAAATCAGAACAAAATTTGTGTAAAATCACACAGAAAATTGGGAATAGATAAACTACGATCAAAATCCCAATATTTTTCATGAAGATTGATGGTTCTTATACTTTTTTCATGTATTTTTTGTTGTTTGCTAAGTTCTGTCGTTTTAGTATGTATAGTCATAATTTAAGTATTTTTAGAGTATCTTCGAGTCACAGATCACACAAGTTATTTGGCATAATGGTTAGAATGAACATATGGGTCACAAAGATTATTATAAGCATCGTTCACGGGTCACAACAATCATACGTGTCATAATAGACATGGGTTATGGGTTACATGGGTCACAACTCATTAGATAATAGTTTACATGGGTCATAAAAGTCACAAGGTCACATGGATCACACGGTCACAGGGTCACATGGTCACAGGGTCACATGATCACATAGTCACATGGTCACACGGTAACATTATCAGAATATTCAGATTGTTAATAATGGTCACATGGATATATGTGACAAACACATTCATATTTATCTACGGGATAAGATAAGCGGAATGCGAAACGTACTTTATACATATTTATTACAATGAACATTCAAATGGATTTAGAGAAGTTACGAGGACTGAATGTGATGGGGACCATGATGATGATGATGGTGGTAATGATTGGGATCTTGAAGTAGTAGAACACATGCAATCACACAGTCGCAACAATTCAAAAGGTTGGTAAAACCAATATTATACCAGACTTATGTTCTCCATATTATATGCGGGAGACATAACATCTTGCTAATTAAAAAAACTGTGTATCCGGTCTCCAATTGTTGTGAATGAAGTATTAGCAATGTCAAAGAGAATGACTAAATTGGAGTGAAGAAAGAGACACCATAAATTTGTATAATAATTATATGGTGTATTTATATTATAATGTGTTATAAAATCTTTGTATAATAATGTCAAAGAATTGTGGTTAATAATGTTATAATGTATTTATACAATGTAGTGTTAAAACCTTTATATAATATTGTGTTTGTACCATAATAATATTATATTATTGAAGATGAATTTTCGTATATATTTGACTCGTGATACACACTAAATAAATTGACTCACACGAGTCAATGTTGTGACCCATTGTGACCGGCATGTGACCATGTGACCGAAGTTCAATTTTGTACTGTGTGACCATTGTGACCGAGTGTGACCCGTGACCGAAATGTGTTGATAAATATTAACCAAAATTAAATTTTTAAGTTTGAGAGTGGTTTATCATAGTCTATATATCAAATATATAGTGAGTGTGAGAAAAATTTAAAATATTTTAAGGAGTTTGTAGAAGAAATGTACCAAATTTATCAAAAGTACTAATAAAATACTATAGAACATATATGAACACATTTGGAAAGAACAACTTTCAAACACAAAAATCGTAAAAACCATATTTTAATGTTCGAAACAATATAGAATAGGCTTATGAGTGATGTGTAACGTTGTAGAGTGATTAAATTGACAAAAATCGCATGGATTGAAGGTTGTGACCGGTTGTGACTGACTGTGACCCATTGTGACCGAAATATGTTGTGGGGTCCACACGAAGAACTAGTCAGAATTTCTCTAGATTTTTGTGTTTCGTGGGGCCCATAATCATTATGTCCATTTGTTGCTTTTAATGTGGGGCCCAATTTGAATATTCAACCCTATATAATTTCTCTCTTAACCCTATATTTGTTTTCCTCTCAATTTTTAACCCCAAATTTTCACCTACAACATTTTCAACCCACAATATTGTGTAAAAAACATTCAAAAATTCGGATTTTTTATGAATAAAATCCAAATAAACATAATTTTTTATTAATTCAATATAATTTTGGGTGGGGATCACTTTGAATTCAATATATTTTGATGGCTCCACTTTCACATAAAAACATCTAAAAAATATAGATTTTTTTGTGGGGTCTATTTTTTATTCAACCATATATTTTTTTCCTCTAACATTTTAACCTCAAAATTTTTCCTACAACAATTTTAAACCAATTTTTTTTCCAAAAACATAAATAAGTTCAGATTTTTAATAAATAAAAACCAAAAATAAATATTTATAATTTAGGATACTACCAAACAAACATAAGAAAGTCATAGTTAGGGTTCAAAATACTTAAATCCAAATCTTTTTCTCTAAATATTTCAACCTAATTTTTTTATCTCCATAAACAAGTTGAAATATATTAAACAACTACAAAAAATCAAAGGTTCATAGTTAGGGTTCAAACAAATAAAGAAAAAGGAGTTTATCATTAGGGTTCAAACATAAAAAAAGGCAGTTCAAAATTATTTTTTCGGTGAACTATCATAATCTATCATGAATTGCCAACTTTTATTGTTATTATTGTTGTTGTTGCTCTTGTGGTATTTCTCATTCTTCTCTCTCATCGTCTACTCCTTTTTTTTTAATCAGAATTTACTCTTTTTTTTTCATCTTTATAGATTTTCTGGAACAAGTTTTCATTTCACGAATCTTTTTTCATCATATGTTTTCCGAATTCAAGTCTAGATATTACACCAAAGAGATAACCGTTAGATTTGTACTTCCTTCATACTCATCCAGATAAAAAAAAAAAAGAATTTCTTCATTCATTCCTATATGTAGTATACTTTTTATTCCCTGAAAGAAAATATATATAACTCCATATTATTATAATAAATCATGTGACCATGTGACCGTGTGACCGTGTGACCATGTGACCGTGTGACTGTGTGATCATGTGACCGTGTGACTGTGTGACCATGTGACCATGTGATCGTGTGATCGTGTGATCGTGTGACCATGTGACCTTGTGACCATGCGATCATACGATCATGTCAACGGACTCATTTAACTCAGTTTTAACCATTTCACTTCACGATTGATTATTTGATTTCAAACCCAAAATAGTCTATTTCAAAATCCCCAAAATTTCAAAAACCCAAAACCCTAAGTTTTTATCGATCAAATCCCGAAATTACGCTTCAACCCGACAACAATAGATTTCAAAATCCAACAAATCTAAAAAGAAGTGTTCGTTTAACCTACCATATGTTCGTCTAACGCCGTAATCTACATGCGAATCTCATTCTCGATCGAAGATGATAACGAAATTGAGTCACGTTCTTCGCTTCATCGTTTCTTGTTCTTTGAATCTCAAATCTAGATGGAGATTTAAAAAGAAAATAATTTTTTTAAGAGAAATCGGGATTTAACGATGAGAATCTGTAAATTTTTAGAGAGAGAACAAAAATGGCGAAAGTTAGGAGAGAGAGAGAAGAGGTTGAGAGGAAATAGAAGATAATAAATATATTTTTACTTTTTTTTTTAATTTGAATTTTTAAATAGAAAAATAAGAAGGTTTTTTTGTCTTTACATTATTTTACGAGGGTTTTATTGTCTTTTGTTATGTTCAATCTGTTTTTTTTTTTAATTTTTTGTTTGGAGGGTATCCTTAGAAGTAGAAATAGCAGTCAAAGAGTATTCGAGCTATTTCCCCCTAATAAAATACATGGCAGATAGACCAAGTTTTATTGTCCGTGAACCCGAGTATTTGGAAAAGAAAGATGCTTTGTGGACTCGTTGTATGTCGGTCAAAACGACCGTCTAATATAAATCTATTTCGCAATAAAAAAAACGTGATTTCGACTAAACAAATTGTGTTTTTTTCTTCACGTTTCACAACATACCTAACTCTATAATCCTCTACTTACTTTTTGTAATATGAACACATCCTTTGAAAATAAACCTCCTCAATCCTCTCTCTATATATATAGTCCCGAAACGCAATTTCAACTTTTGCCGTAATCATCTAGATCAAGATGAATGCCTTTTATACAATGAAGCCATAACTTGTTTGAAAATAAAGTTGACGAGGGAATCCAACGAAAAAAAAAACATCCGACTAACTTTAGGTAATTCATAAAGTCGACTCCGTACTAATTTATGTTGTCCGATACAGACTTGGTTGGAATTTACATTGAAACCCAAAACACCGTTACTTTTGCATATTCTTCGTCAACCTCTTTTATTACATCACATATAACCGAAGTCCAAACTAATATTGGGGCCAAGAGCAGATATGTTTTTTTGTTGGATCCCAAAGTGGTGAAATTTAATTTTTCCAAAAAAGTTACGGTTCGATTGTACAAGCTAAAAGGCGTTATCTTCGTCGAGACCGTGACGAGAAAAGTTAGAATCATGCTTTGTCTCGAGACTAATACAGTGTAATTTCTTCAAGAGTAAAAATAGTAAAAACATAACATGATTGTTTCAATTCTAAACAACAACCACGGTAAGTTGTTTCTCATTGCACTATGTAATAAGTCTACAACACCATGTTTCTTATGGCAGTATATTTTGTTTTTCTTACATCTAATAGATAAGTTTTTGTTCACTAAGACTTTTAACTTTTAATTTGTAACCATATTAGTTTACATTTTTTTTAATATTTAAATTTTTTCATAACCATGCATAATACCTACGAGAGCTTTGAGGTGGGATTAAATACAAAACATGTAGTTAAGACTTGGCCCCCAACTTCTTTGCTCGTTCTTTCTTTTCCATACCTCATGAATATGTTTTGGGTCTATGTATATAACATCATCGTAAGAAGATTCAGAAAGTCTATTTACAGATCGACTGAATATAATTTCGAGAGTTTGCGTCTTATTAAAACGTGCTGATATCATAAGAAATAAAATAGACGACTAAATAGGTAAATATAACGTAAATCATAAAGAAAATAATATTTTTTTAACGTGAAAGCGATATCTTTATTTTGAGAATACATTTATATTTAAACGGTTGTTTTAACCGACACACATCGAGTCCACAAAGCATCTTTCTTTGCTAGATATTCAGGTTCACGGGCAATGAAACTTGGTCTATCAGCCATGTATTTGATTAGAGTGTCATGACAAAGTTTTCCCTCTTGAACAAGTTCGCGACAACAAATATTGGAGACTGTCCCATTCCAGAAAATCTCTTCGACTATATCCAATGTACACTTTGGAGACATTTTGGTGAGACAATTATCCCAAACCTGTTTCGCTTCCCCTTCTTCAATAGCAAAGGAGGACACCGATCCATATACCACAACTACAACAACCAAGGCCACAACGATCTTGATATTGAGTTTTGTCATCTTAGCCAAATGTGTTTGGATTTGATTGATTTGCCCCAACTATGTTGTGTTTTTTTTTTCTTGATCTGACAATCGAAGTAAGAGTGATACATATTTATATACAAGCAAGTGTAAAGGGTAAGTAAACTCCATTAATGATGCATTAAGGTATTGTTAACTCTTACGACATTTATTATTGGGAGTTTCTTTTTTTGTTTGTGTTCTCTAACATTTCCATTATTCGATGAATTGAATGTTGTAAACGTTGTTTACAATTATCATATCTAGTGATAGAAGTTGTTTTTATTCATTCGACTTCCCCATAAAATAAATGTTGGCTAACCACAACTCCTTTTTATACCTTCTCCTGTCATAATTAATGTTCATAACTTACATGTTGCAATGATACAAAAAAAAATAATTTGATGTAATAACATGTCTATTATTATATTATTATATCTCTATGACAAACAAGACTATGTTGTACACGTACTTGAATAGGCATGTATGCTCATAATTAGGATTTGGCATTTAGGTTGTGAGAAATTAGTGCTAAGTTTTATAACTTTCCAGCATGTTCTTAAAGGTCAAACGAATATATATTTATGGTCATGTTCAATTCAAAACCGACCTTAACTGTAATTTGGACGTAGTGTGTTTTGTGATTCTACGTATGAAAGCTTATTTCACTTGAATAATTGGCTTTAATCATTGCAATCCCCGAAAATAAACAAAAAGTTGTGTTTCTCTAACCAGATATATATATATATATATATATATATACATATATATTACGGAATATTACGGAGAATGATTTATTTATGTTCACAATTTTGAACATGTTTAATGTATATTCTCCAATTTCTACGTTTTCTTCAAATAATAAAGAATTCTAGTAGATAAAATCTTCATGTGAAAGAAGTGGAACCACCATCTAAAAAAAATCTAGATAGTTTGCCCAAAATGACAAATGGATTTAGAAGGCTTGTTTCCAACGACGTGTTCGTATTACAAAACAATAAAGTAGAGGATTATAGAGTTAGATGTGTTGCGAAACGTTAAGTAAAAAACATAATTTTATATAGTCACATTTTTATTTCGAAATAAACTTTTATTAAACAGTTGTTTTGACCGATACACAACGAGCCCATAAAACGTCTTTTTTTGCCAAATATTCGGGTTCACGTGCAATGAAACTTGGTCTATCGGCCATGTATTTGATCAGAGTGTCATGGCAGAGCTTCCCTTCTTCGACAAGCTCGCGACAGCAAATATCGGAGACTGTCCCGTTCCAGAAAATCTCTTCAACTATATCCAACGTACACTTTGGAGACATTTTGGTGAGACATTTATCCCAAAACTGCTTCGCTTCTCCTCCTTCAATAGCAAAGGCGGGCAAAGATCCATATACCATAACTACAATAGTCAAGGCCACAACGATCTTGATGTTGAGTTTTGTCATCTTTGTTGAATGTGTATGGATTTGATTAATTTACTCTAATATGTTATGTTTTGTGTTTTTTCTTGATCTGGAAATTGAAGCTTAGGAGTGGTATTTATATACAACAATGCAACTATAACATTTTTTGTAACTCTTATAGACATTTATTAATTCGGAAGTTCCTTTGTGTTTCTAACATCTCCATCCAATTCAATGATGTGAATGTTGTTAAAGTTGTTCATAATTGTCATGTCTAGTGATGGAAGACATTTTAAATAAATGGACTTCCAAAACTTACGTGTTGTGTTGATTCACAATGTGATTACTTTTAAAAATGGTAATACAAAACTATATGTAATGTATTTCCGGGTCTCTCTGTCGTATTCTTGTTAAGTGTTAACTGCTTCATCTTCAATTTGAACATATCATGTTGAAAGCAATTGCATAGTCATTCTAAACCCAAAAAAAAAAGTAAAAATAAAATTAATTTGATGGTTTATGTGTAAATAAACATAAGCTAAATCCATTTGCCATATTATAATTTTTTTTTTTGATAACCAGGATGGTTCCTCGGGTCTTCGACCCGACTACATCCACCCTAGGCCCGGGACCAGCCTTTGTATATGGACCATTTTAATCCAGAAATTACATCCCTCCCCACCAGTGGAATCGAACCCAGGACCTTGAAGATGACTTTGTCACCTTTCAGCCACTGGACCACCAACTGTTGGGTTTTGCCATATTATAATTAATTGTTTTTACCATAATAAGAATAAAATGGTTTAATTATGTCATTTAATATTATTGTATTTTGAGTTATTATTTTTATTTTGTTTCCGGGATGCTAGTTATGTCATTTTCTAGCAATTTTGTGTGGCATATCTATTATTTAAAACGGGTAACTATTGGTGATTAAATGGTGAACATTAAAATAAAATGATAAAAATATTTAATTCCGTGAAATTAATATTTCACTAATTCGACATCACAAAATTCTGAATTTAAATTTATGTATTTTGGAAAATCAATTACTTAAATTGCAATAGATTTTTTTTTAAAAAAAAGACGAATATGTTGGGAAATGGCTCGCAATCAACTCGAAGCCATTGAGGTACCTTAGCCCTCGCCGCACCTCACGGGTATCCGAAGCATATGAAGATACGAGTTTTAACACTCGTTGATAGTTGAATCTTTTATTTATTTGTTCCAAAAATTTTTATAAAAAAAAAACGCTATTTGTGGCTCTAGAATTCACGTTATTTGTTGGAGCATATGAGGATTTAGAAGGTTTTGTTTTCGAAGGATGTATTTCATATTATGAAAAAATAAGTACGAGGATTAAAGAGTTAGCTATGTTGTGAAAAGTGAAAAAAAATATAATTCGTTTAGTTGAAGTGGTATTTTTATTTACATTTCTATTAAACGGTTGTTTTGACAGACACACAACGAGTGCATAAAGCATTTTCTTTGTCAAATATTCGGGTTCACGGGCGAAGAAACTTGGTCTATCTGCCATATATTTGATTAGAGTGTCATGACAAAGCTTTCCCTCTTGGATAAGTTCGCGACAACAAACATCGGAGACGCTCCCGTTTCAAAAAATCTCTTCGACTATATCCAAGGTACATTTTGGAGACATTTTCGTGAGACAGTCATCCCAAAACTTCTTTGTTTCCCCTTCTTCTATTGCAAAGACAGACACAGATGCATATACCATGCCTATAACAGCAAAGTACATAGCAATCTTGATGCTGAGTTTTGTCATCTTCTCCAAATATGGTTGGATTTGATTATTCGGCTCAATGTGTTAAGCTTTTGTTTTTCTTGATATGGAAATTGAAGTAGCAACGGTATTTATATGCAAACAATTACTGATCTGTATTAATAATCCCTTTAAGGTCTTGTTAGCTCTTATGGCATTTATTATTGGGGAGTTTCTTTTATTCCCGTTCCCTAACATCTCCATCTAATGCTATGAATTGAATGTTGTAGACGTTGTTTACAATTACAATGCCTAATGATTCGACTTCCGGGTATAAGAAATATTGGTCATCCACAACTCCTATTTATACATTCTTCTATAATACCAGAAATTTTAATTTGATGTAATCGCATATCTCTTTACATATAGGACATATGTGTGTATACATCTCATCATTGTATGGGGGCGACTGGTTGCACCATCATTAATCGCAATCAGAGCGGTTGCGATTTATGGCGTTGGAGGTGATTAAAAAATTGACGGGTTGAACCGCAACTATCCATAACCACAACCAAATTTATGTTTTCTAATCGCAACTTTCAATTTGTGTTTTGGTAGCAGTTTCCGACATTTAGACAAAAAGACTAAAATACCCTTATTAAAAATTATAAAAATAATAATATATATATTGGTGATGATTTTGTTTAGTGTTATGATTCGATATTATTTTTAAAATATTATATTTTAATAAAAAAATATAATAGTACCATGTGATCGTATAATTTTTAGTTTTAATAATATTTTTTAATAATTTTCATAATAAAATTATTTTTTACTTAAAAATAAATTAAATTGATAATATTTATTTTTTAAATTTATTATTTAATTATTATAAATTTAATAAATAATTTTTATCAAATGATATTAATTTTTTTTTTGTATACGTTGGAGAACCTGTCCTATAGTCCTTTGGGCCGGACCCCGAAACGACTCACAGCTCTCTCCGAAAGGTCGGACGAATGACACAACATCGCGGACATTAATTGATATTAAAATTTTAATTACAACTATTATAAAAAATTTATTTTAAAATAATATCTTTTTTACAATTTATATCAAAACGAAACCGCAATTATAACGAACCATTCACTTCTAACCGTATCCATCCACAATCGCTATCAACAGCAACTTATCAACCAATCAGTACTTATCGCTCATAATCACCATCATATGTTCTGAAAACGCCACTACCCACGATCACAACCCTAACGGTACAATCAGTCGAGCCTAATAGCTCATAATTAGGATTCTGCATTTAGGTCAACAGGTGAGGGCTAAGTTTTATGACTTTCCTGCACGTTATTGAAAATCAAACAAATATGTCTTTATCGTCATCTTGACAAAACCGACCTTAACTGTAATTTGGACTAAAGTAGGAATATGCGGAGCAGTGAAGAAGGTAATAAATAATTAGAAGTTCATTTTTTAAAACCCTTTCTGATAAGTGTACTAATCCAAGAAGATTTAAAAAAACAAATGTGTCGCTTTTTTCTCTACAATAATGCTATATGCATCCGAACAGCCGGATTTGAACCAACGATCTAGGGATTAATCTGCAATTCGACTACAGTCCTCCACTCTACCAACTGAGCTAAGGTCGGTTGTTTATGGTGTTTAACTGATACTATGATCCTTGAATTGTGAATATAAACTATCACTCAATGTAAATAGGTGAATGTTGAAGGTTCTTGTAAAAACGAGGTATGTAACTCTAGCAAGTTTGTGTCGTACAACATATAATTTAGTACGGGGTCGGCTTTGTGAATTGAATTAAGTTGGTCAACTTTATTTTCAGACAAGTGAGGGATTGATTCATTTGTACAAACTAAAAGGCGTTATTTTGATCTAAACACTCAATGTCAACAAAAGTAAAAACTATGTGTGTATATATAGAGAGGGAGAGAGAGAATTTAGGAAGTTTGTTTTCCGTTCATATTATATAACAATAAGTAGAGGATTATAGATTCGATATGTTATGAAACTTTGAAGGAAAAAAACACAATTTATTTAGTCGAAGTTACACTTTAATTTTCAAAATATATTTTTATCAAACGGTTATTTTGATTGACATACAACGAGTCCATAAAGCGTCTTTCTTTGCCAAATACTCGGGTTCACGGGCAATGAAACTTGGTCTATCTGCCATGTATTTGATTAGAGTGTCATGGCATACCTTCCCCTCTAGACACTACAAAAAAAATGGTCATTTCCAACGGGCAAATCCGTTGGAAATGACCAAATTTCCGTTGGAAATTAACGTTTCCAACGGATTTCCAACGGATAAATCCGTTGGAATTTCGTCGTTAGAAAACGGTGTCCGTTGGAAAACCGTTGGAATTTTCAACGGAACTTCAACGAATTTTTCCGTTGGAAAATTCCAACGGATTTCCAACCGCAATCCGTTGGAATTTTCCAACGGATTTCCAACGGATTTATCGGTTGGAATTTTCCAACCGAATTTCCAACCGATATCCGTTGGAATTTTCCAACGGAATTTCCAACCGCAATCCGTTGGAACATTCCAACAAAAAATTCAAAATATATTCTCGATCCCGACCCCCCCGATCCCGACCCCCGGCACCGATCCCGATCCTCCAGCCCCGATCCCCCGGCCCAACTCCGACCCCGACATCTATCCCGATCCCGATCCCCCAGCCCCGACCCCGACCCCAACTCCGACATCTATCCCGATCCCGATCCCGTAACTCACTTCCCAGTAGGTCACCCATCCTTCCACTGCTCCAGCTCAATCCTCCTTAACCCTGGAGTTCCAATTGACAATCATCCAACTGCTCCAAGTTAAACTTCTGATATTACATAACATTAATATATATACATATATAAATGTTTATACATATAAATATTTATATACATACATA